AATCTCTTCCTTATGTCGTCATTGCGTATGCGATCCATACGCGTGACACCGGCGGTCCATCGCAACATTTTCATCTCCATGACTCCTAGGCGCGCTTCAACTTCTCTGGTCGTAGGCCAACATTCAGCGCCATATATCGCGACTGGTCGAACGACGGTCCTATAGATCTTCGATTTGAGGCGATCTGGTATTGTCTTGTCGCAGAGAACGCCAGTCATAGACCGCCATTTAGACCAGGCTGCACTCACACGTGCGCTCACTTCTGAGTCGAGACTACCGTCAGACGTAATTGTTGATCCGAGGTATTTGAACGCTGTAGTTCGCGTGAGCACACTGCCGCTGACCTTAAGGGAACCAGACTCGTCCGGGTCAGTCGTCAGGTACTCGGTTTTCTTGACGTTCAATCTGAGCCCGAAGTTTGCTAACCGTTCAGTCCAAGCTTGCACTTGTTCCTCGAGACCATTCTTATCCTCGCAGGCGAGCATCACATCGTCAGCGTAGAGAAGCGTCCAGGGAGCCGGCTTCTGGAGGTCCCGTGAATGGCGTTCATGACGACAATGAAGAGCAGCGGGGAAAGCGCTGAGCCTTGGTGCACCCCAACTGTGATGGGGAACCCCATCGAAATGCCTGCTGGACTCCGCACTCGACTCGTCGGGCTGAAGTACAGGATGCGTACCCACTCAATCAGCTCTTCGGGAACGCCGTGCTGCCGTAAGGCATACCATATAACTTCACGTGGGACACGGTCGAATGTGGTCCGCAGCAAACCACATAGAATGAAAGCAACAAAAACGAAAAACAAGTGTCATTTACAATGAGCACATGCTGTAGGTTGGTATCCCCAGCGATGGGGTCGTGTTTGGTTGCCGGAGGATGAAGGGTCGTCGACTTTTTTAAATGTCCATGTCGTTGATTGTTCGCGGTTTTTCCTGCTCTGACAACGAGTGCGCTGCTATACGCCGCCCCTTCCGCACCTGACGGCGGTTTTTCTTGGGAAAAAGTATAGCACTCCGAAACTACGCAAAAAACCCTGGAAGGGTGGTAGGGAGAGCTGATAGTCTAGAAGGGTGGTTGGTAGGTGGATGGAGGAAAGAGAGGGGTTGTACTGGAGGAGTAGAAAGTTTACACGAGTGGTATTCGGCAAACATTCTTCGCAGCGGTCGGTGTGAACAATTACCAAATGACTGCGCGCGTACTCCGACTCTCATGGAAGCCCCTCCCTCTCTACGTGCAGCACGCTAGAATTCTCGTGGAACTAGGATTAAGCTTTTCTGAAGATCGTGCGTTTTGAATGAATGGAATTAGCAAATCATGCAAATGGCAAAAATACAGGCTTAGTAATGAAATTACTAGATGGAAGACCCAGGAAAAGAATAGTCAACCTACATGCCATAGAGAAGAACTGAAAATGAGAAGGCCCGACACATGAAACACGTCATGTAAATGATACTGATAAAAATCAACAGCAGGAACGAAAAAATCAGTGATAAGCAAATAGTACTGTAGAGCAGACAGAAAGTGAAGGTGCCGCCCTCAGCGCGATCGCGACTGTTGCCTTTTAAAGTACTGTTTTCAAAACAATCGCATGACTTAAAGACACTTACCGCGATAAAGTGTTCGGGTAATTGGTGCCCAGTAACGAAGCAGTGGCCCATTTGTAACCCCCAGTGGAAAAAAACCTCGCGAACACCCGGAACACGGACCTCCCTTTAGCAGTGGGGGCGGGGCCTGGACGAGTGCGCCGGCTGTGGCTGCCGGGATCGGTGCGGCGGCCGCAATTGCGTCCCGACTTTCGAAATAGGATAATTTTCGAATTCGAATAGGAAATAGGAAACTGCGGAAACAGCTACGCCCCTGAATCGACGGTTGTCGGAGAGGAGAGCTCCCGTTTAATCCATCACTTGCGTGTGTCGAGAAATTCCGGGCATCGATGTCTCGATAAAACGTGTTCCACTGATAATTACAGGGTTTTTTCTGTCAGAGTGGAGCTGGGGAGAACAGAGGAGCTCTTCTCAGTATTCAAGCGGGAGAAACAGACTTTCGTACGTGATACTCATCTCCCCGTGCTTTTTCTTCAATCCTCCTTCACTGCCTTCTTTAGTTTCTTGCCTCTCTCTTATCCTATGTATGCTTTTCTAAGAATTTGCGCTTCCAGCCAGCTATAAACAGCTATAAACCAACTTTGGCTAAGTGCCAGAAGGGCCGCGCACGAGACGCGCCGCGCGGGCGTTAAAGGGACGGAAGCAGCTCGGGACCGGACGCCTCGTCCACCTACCGTCTCAGCGAGCCTAGCGAGCCTTGTGGAAATCGCTATAACTTTCGCGCCATATTGAGGGATGAAAGTGCTATCATCTTCGTCAAGGCGTAGAGGGTTCCAAACAGCACGAATTCATTTTGAGGACCACTTTATCGCGGTAAGTGTCTTTAAGTGGCAAGTTTGAAGAACAGAAGCGGATGTGCACATTGACTTACTGTTGGGAAAAGAGCAGGGGACATCGTCGCAAGCGCGCATAGTAGTGCTCTTCATAGGATAGTGGTTTGAGCCAGAGGTCAAGATCTCTTGTCATTTCAGGGGAGGGACCAGCGGTGAGAGAGGACGAGGAGGTGGTAAGACGCCGTACACCAACGCTGGCGGAGTGAACTGGCGCCAGGTGAGCATTTACCAGCGCAAAACCAATGCTGATTTGTCCATTTCGACCCATTTCAGTTGTGATAATCACAACGATGGCGGTCGTGTTTGACCGCGGAGGGAGGGGGGGGTCGTATTTGTCTAAGAAAATTCTTTTTTGATAGTTGATTTCTCGGACGCTGTAAAGGGGATCGTATTTGGTCGTTGTCAGGAGACCGGGGCGGGTGGGGGGGAGGGGGGGGCGGGAGGGGGGGGGGGGTAGTTGTATGTGTATGCGAAAAATTTGTGATTTGCTGACTTTTTGCGTTTTTCCCGTTTCACTGGTGTTATATTCTCTCCCCCTGGTTGGTAGCGCCGCCAAGGTTCCATAAAACTAACATTTCCGATAGTTGGAAGTAGTATTTAGTTCCTGACGACTTCTCCCTCCCAACCCGGGGAGGGGGAGATGGTACGACCCCCCCCCCCTCCCTCCCCCGCTCGACAGCAAAATCCTGGGGAAAAACTAGAAATTTTTCGAGAAATGCCGGGAAAAACTGGAAAAAGTGGTAGGAGTTGGGAAAATCTAGGAAAGTGGTAGGTAGGATGGGGAGGGGAGCGGTCGTATCAGAGGATGGAATTGGGGGAGGTCTTATTTTACAGGAATTCATCACAACGCGATGGCGTGCCCTGCCCATTTTACCTTTTGATACATGGGAATGAACATGTTCTTACAGTTATTGTGTCACTGAGTGAAACAGCCATGATTTACGTAGGAACTGCTGAAAAATGGGTTGAGTAATCTTCAATTCGCATAACATAAAGCACTATTTGAAGGTGAAATAGAAGTGGCCTACTCTGTCTACTTTCTCTCATCTAATTGCTTTCTTCTTGTTCCCTTGAAAACAAGCTGTACGCTAATCTGCAAGTGGGTGGTGTGCGAGGTGACGGGTCCACAGCTGCAGTAGCGTGCTCCTTTCAGAGCTGGAGAGTAGTGATACCCGGATGCCATCTCGATACTCCGTTCGCGTCGTCATTAAT